ACGCTCGTATCTCGAGGTTCCCCAGAGTGTCAGTCCAGTCTTTGGAAATGTTAACCCTGATCCTGCTGGGTTAGCAGTTACCAAAGCTTATAAATGAGGTTACATGCGTTCACTTCAAAGATATAATCTGGGTTTAGTTAATATTCCATAGAATGATCTTCTTTCTAAACCTGTTAACTGAACCCCTTTAGGTTTGAACCATTTATATTTGTCATCCTCTCTCCTCGTGGTTTTAACTAAAGCAGAATCCAACTGGCAGCTGAAGTGTTTCACCTTCACCTTCACTCATCCCACATTCATTTGCAGCCTCTCACCTGTCTTTTATTTCCCTCACCTGCTCAACAACGATGGTATTAGACATAGTTGCACTCACCCGTTCAACAACGATGGTATTAGACATAGTTGTAAATTAATTTGATACATTTTCCTCAGTATGTCTGTCATTATTCTCTTGTCGTGTGTCTATGACACCGCCTGTGTGTGTGTGTGTGTGTGTGTGTGTGTTTTTATCTAGAGAAGCGGTAGCTCTGCCAACCCTGCAGGCAGCAGCTGCGCTGACTCCTAATGATTTGTCTGCCTCTAAATGGTAATCAGGGAATCCCTGCTGTGCTGTGGTTCTTTTTTGATCAAGGAGTAGAAAAACAGAGCTGGGTTCACAGGAGATCAATTAGCACTACACACCTTTTATTTGCCGCAGCACTGTTGCAGCTGTTGGCATCATCATCTTTTTTTTTTTTTAATCACCATCGCTCACTGAATCACTGCCATTTTAGCCTCCCACTGTCAGTGCTATCTCAAGACTGACTGTGTTTATATGAAGTCGTCTGACTGCAAAGACTCTGGACTTCCCCTCTGCACAGACATTTATGCAACAATTGTCCAACACTGTCTTTCCTAAGCTCAGACTGGTGATGTGTTTGTGCCACTGCTGCTGCTGCTGCTGCTGCTGCTGCTGCTGCTGCTGCTGTTGTTGTTGTTGTCGCAAACTCATTCTGTTTATGTGTGTGTGTTCGATGTCAGTGTGTGTGCGACAGAGAATGTGTGAGACAGCAAGAGCCCGACCTACCTATAATGCTTCTTCACAAAATGGTGTGATTACGAGCTGACCATTGTGTCATAATGCAGGTCAGACAATGACCTATTTTAAAAAAAAACCCACTCCTGAAGCGATCAGCCGGTCTGACCTCTGTCTGGATGTTTTGTTCTGTTGTCGTCGTGGCCACGGCCTCTCCTGGTCCCACTGCTCTGTTCTTAAAGTGTGGTTTTACTGTGGTTCTCGCTGCACATGTCGTCCTGTTGAGGTGTGGCTTTCATCTCTCTTTTTGTTTGTGTATCTGTCTGTGTTTATCTCCGTGTCCTTGTCTTAATATGTCTGGTTCGTCTGCCCTGCAACAGCCTCCGGTGAGCAGCGGGGCCACTAATCACTAAGCTATTGGTTTAATGATGCCAGCGCCTACTTTAGAGGGATTTTCATGTCTGTGTCTCGAAACACCCTTCTCACCCAAACACACGCACACACACACAATGGCACACACACAAACACTTTTTACTTGCACGGAAAAACATGAATAGTTATGATAATGCGGCGAGACACAGATAGTGCCGTGCCCTTCCCGTGCATCGATTGCATCTGCAAACTCTCTCATTTTCTTTCTCAAGCAGATAGCCAAAGGTCAAACACACCTGCAGACATAACAGGATTTCATCCAGTCTGCTGAAGAACAAGAGGCAGGAGCAGACAAATGGAAAAGCTTAAAAACACACACACACACACGCACACACACTCAGCCTCACTCGCAGCTTCCTGCGAGGTTGGGGTAAATGGTGAAATAAGTAAAATGGGGCAGGATCATTGAGACTAATGATACAGCTCCTGCCCTATGTTTTCTTGGGTGGAGAGAGGACATTAAACAGCGGCAGGAGCGGTTGTGACTAAATGACAATGCAGGAGGCCTGAAAATAGAACGAGTGGTGGAGGAGAAGCAGTGGAAGGAGCGCAGAGGAGGAAAGGAAAATGAGGAAGAGAGAGAGGGGGAAAAATCCATGTAAAGGTTTTATTCTGTCATACAAAAACACGTCAGGTGAATCCCTTTTTTGCAAATATATTTCAGCGCACATTGAGTGTTAAGTATATATTGGTTTTTTTGTTTGGTTTTTTTTCAGAGATATTTAAATCCTGGCCTTTTAATCTCATCTCCTTGTCAAACAAACTCACTGGGCCAGGCAGACGTCTAGCTAGCCTATTTTCATGTGACCTGAATTCCCCAGTGTGGCATTTTTTCCTGCCAGGCTAATCTCATTAAGTTGGGTGCAGAGCGAACAAACACACACCAGACATCCCTCACTCCTACTCTGTCCTCCTCTCCTCCTTTTGTCTCCTCTTCATCGTGTTCACTTTTTCCATCAACCCCTCCCGCCTCCATTGTCTTCTTCCTTGCTTCCATTTTTGTTCCTGTCCTCCTTCCTCTATGTCCTCCGCTGCCTCTTCCTCCCACTCGGTTGTCTCCCATATCTATCCTCTCCTTCTGTCTAATTATGGCCTTCTGCAGAGAATAGAGCAGGTCTGGCTCGGCAATGGAGTCCAACCTCTGGAGCCACCTCTGCACCCAGACGCAGGCTCGTTCGTCATTGTTGCCAGCTCTCTCGCCTTCACTTTGCATCTTCATATCTGCACAGCCTAATCCACGGGCCTGTGGACGCCAGTCCCATGTGTTGCCTCCACGTGTTGTCAAATGATTCAGTGTTTCCGTCTGATTAATCACAGGATAGGTGTGGACCAATCATGATTAATCATGTTTATAGTCATGCTAGTTATCCAACATTACTAAATATGATATATTTATGTATACTGCTGGAACAGAAAGACAAATAACAGCAGGTTTGTGTCTGTGTTTCATACCTGTTATGTGTTGGTGAGTTTTAGTCATTACTGAGCATCGTAGGCTGTAAGAAAACATTGATACTGAAAAACTATATTTTGTTTCACGATAGCGTATCGATATTCTACAGCACTGTATCGATTCATGGCGTTGATTGTTTTTGTGTTGCATTTAAAATTCCGACCACTAGTTGACACTGCATATATTTGCATGTATTTGAGACTTTGAGTCAAACAGTCTTATTTTTTTATATTTGTTTGTCAGGAAAATCCAAATGTATTTTGGTATATGTCATATCGTCCCCTATATCCTGATACGTATCATATCGCCAGGTTCTTGCCAATGCACAACCCTAGTGCACCTTGATGTTAGCGTTTTGTTTTGTTTTTTTCAATGAAGCCGTTGACCTCAACAATATTAATGAGTCTACAGTTCCTCACCATCCATTTGCCAATTGTGTCAGTCAGCCTGACAGCTGTGAGGCTGCTCTGAGGCCAGCCAGACGTCTGACCTGAAGGTGACGCCTCTACAAACACGTTCTGTGTCGTTGAGATGGTATTACAAGCTTCAGGTGAAACAAAAACTCTTTGTTACTCAACTCAACAGTGTATTTGAACTTCCATCAGTGGATGGACAGTGGAAATGTTGGACATACGTTGTGCAACATTCTGACCATATGTTAAAATGTGATAAAGATTTTTAATCCGATTTATTGCCTACGACCTACGTCTGAATTTCGACAGCCCTAGTTTTAACGCGACTCCGTGTTTTTCATAACTGTAAAGGTATGCACAAAAAAAGGGCCACACAGAAAGTATAAAATAAGCACTGCTATCAGAAGCAGGGCACAGAAAATTAAACATAAAACGCTGCCACATGCAGTTCTGCTACAGATGGCTCACTCAGATTGGAGGTGGAATTAGTTTGCTGCTGCAGTCGTGCCAGGCTGCTGTTCTGGGTCTGGTCTTAGCCGGTGTTGAAGCTGAATCTTCAATCAAAACATCTCACCATCAGAACTATTGTTGTTTTGTCATGACACATGAATTCTAAGGTATTAGTCTGTGCAAGACAGAGAGGCAAAAATATTCCTTTGAAGATTTGTGCTTCTTTTCCATTACTTCATGAAGCCAGAAAGGTTTTAAGGTTGCTATTTAATTTTCAAAGGGATCCAGTGTGTCTCACGAAGCAGAGGAGAGAGCTTTTTAGATTATGTACAGTACACACTTGCTTACCGGCGTCTGATGGATACGATAACCTACTCAGCATCCTGTTTTAATGTATATTACAGGACTGACAATATTTTCAGGGAATATGCTTTCCTCTTGCCAGGACAAAAATGGAGTGCAATGAAACCTCAGGGGAAGCAACTGATCAGAAATGTTGTCTAAGACGTGGTTCACGATCTAGGACTCGTGAGACTGAGATTCATCACATCATATTCACTAGTTAAATAGATTTTGTTTGTGTGTGTACTCACATGTTCGTGACAGTGTGTTTACATGACATCAGAGAAAATTGATTATTGTGGTAGTCTGGCCGTAACCAGAGCTTTAAAATACATATAAACATTATTGCCTAATTGAAAAAGCACTGAACATAGTCAGACTAACACACCCAGATAGTAAAGTTGGGAGACATACACAAACTAAATAACCCAATAACGTCTGCCTTTCATAAAGCTTTAATCACAGTGACGCCATGTTGTTGTTTTGCTGCCAACAGCGAGACCGGAAGAGAAAAGTGGAAATGGACAAAGTTCAATCAGACCATAGCTGATTTGTTGAAGCTAAAAGGCTAACACATCTCGGCCATAGGCTATATTATAATCTAGTATACTTTACTCTAATGCAGACATGGACAACCTAAATTTCCAGAGGGATTAATAAAGTCCTATCATCTAACTAACTAAAGTCCGTTATCCAGATAAGGTTCGATCAGTGACTAGGCCCAAAACTTGGTAACCTTCCATTGAACCCTCTCTTCACCTTCCTCCCGTCTCCACAGCCCTACATTACCACCTGCTGATCAACCTATCAGGAGGCAATTATTTAAAACACCATTACAAATGAAACCACTCTTGTGGGAAACCAATTAACCTTTATCTCGTCTCTTTCCCCCCAGGCCCAGGACCTGAATGTGATCGAGGAGGTGATCCGCATGATGTTGGAAATCATCAACTCCTGTCTGTGCAACTCATTACACCACAACCCCAACCTGGTCTACGCACTGCTCTACAAGAGGGAGCTTTTCGAGCAGTTCAGGATGCACCCGTCCTTTCAAGACATCATGCAGAACCTGGACACGGTCTGTCTCAGTCGGTCTTTTTTCTTTTTATCTGTGACTGTTACTCAAACTTAATGTTCAATTAAGTCAGGGTGCCAAAAGAAAGTACGTTTGCCCCCGAAGTCCGGAGGGGTGGTGTTCATGGAAAGTGGGCGATACACTTTGTGCACAAGCACGGTTAAATATGGTCCCTGCTGCCTCCACAGAAATATTTGTAAGCGCGCAGCCGTTTGACTGTAATAAATCAAGGCCTTTGCGAGGGCTGACTATTTTGAAGGTAATGTAGGTTTTTGCAAAGAACTAGACAGTCATCGCAGCCTTGTTGTCTGAGTCACTCTCGTTCACGCCTCTTTTAACCACGTATTAACATTCACTGACGTATGTGTCAAAGGCAACCGGGCTTCGGCTCGCTTGGCTTCAGGGTAATGTGAGTGCGGGCCAGCGGGGGACAGGGGAGGGAGAGCATTTGGGCTTCAGTGCGTAACGGAACAACTGGCCCTAGTGTGAGTGCACCCTCAGGCTGGAGTTGGGGGTCTTGGCCACATGGTGTGGGTCCATTTTTCACTGGATCAGAGTTAGAAAAAGAAAAAAGTAGTGAATTTCTCCAAGCAGAAGGCAGTCCTGCATCAATACCTTAGTGTGTAGTTGGTACTGCATACGTGGCTTTGTGATCTTAAGTAGTATTGATTAATTAATCAGTTCCCTTGTGTCGAGAGGTTCTGCGTGAAATATTCATTTAAAGTGATTGTTGTAGGAGGGAGGAAGGCTGTGAGTGTCAGAATACTGTCTTTCATGGTTGGATTAGTCATACAGCCGAGGAAGGACGCTTTGACTGTATGTGGGAGGAAGAGAGGGCGTGGGGGGTTTAGAGGGGGTTTCTGCCTATACTGCTACAGGCTTTGCTGTGATACATAAGTATGAGGGATGCATGCTAGCTATACGTACTCTCCTAAGTTAAGATAGTCTCCCTGAGGCAATTCTCCAAAGCCTTCCTTATACTTGCAAATCCATGTGTGTGAGCAGGAGATTTAAATGGAGGAGGTTCTTTTTTTTTTTTTTTTGCTCCTCTAAATTAACCCCATATGTAACGCCCTGGGAGTTAATGAAGAGATTAGTATTAAAAAGTAGTATTAAAAATGTAGGCAGGACTACATCTGAAGCATCCATAGGCAGGGGAAATACTGCCCGTGCAGGCACCTTTTTTCCCCCCGTTGCTTTAAAGAAAAAAATGCTTTAAACAAATCTTTTAATATTTACTTATGTTAATGCTGAACCACATCTAACATTTAACCCCCGGCACAGGTGTTCTGTTGAAGCCGATCTCGGTCAGTTGTTTATGTCAATACCTTTACAGCATGCTGTTGGAACATATTCACACTCTATGGTTAATGTGTCTTCTGAGGTACAGCACCGTGAGGTGTCTTCAGGCATATTGAAAAAAAAAAAAATCAATTTAATAAAGCGTTTATTGTTGCAGCTGAAATAATAATTACTGTAGCTACAAAAACGCACATCCCTCCTGTACTGTGACATACAGTATAAATGTGTAACTCTGGGAGAAGGTGTATTTTTCTATTAGTTGTGGTGATAATGAGGCTGTGAAAAGTCTCACATTTGAGAAAAGCTAATATTAATAAAAAACAGTGCTGTATGTTAACAGTACTTTGACTATGACATCTGGTACACGCTGTCTAGGTCTTTATATTGCACTCAGTGTCATCATACAGGGTCTATGGGAAGGAGTGAAAAATTCAAAGGACTGTATGACGGTACGGGGGTTCAGTGTCAAACCCAAGTGGCATCAAAGTGACATGAAGTCATGTATATTTAAAAAATATATAAATTGTGTAATAATTGGCGTTTTCCACTTTTATTCTACCAATAGGTGATCGGCTTCTTCAGTCAGCGTCTGGAGCAGGCTGGAAGTGACCTGTCGGTTGAGAGGGTTCAAGAGGTCATCATGAAAGGAGCTCAGGCCCTGCCCACAGACAGACTGAAGGTAAGACACAAACAACTGACTGGTGTGAGTTGTCTCCACTGAGACGAAACAGTGTCATAACGACTGTTGTCTATGGTTGGAGTGATCCATTCTACAATATCTGAAAAAAAAAGAAACAGTGTCATACGGATGACATATATGCATATGATCTTTTATGTAAATATATTATTCCCATCAACAAACACCCGCCTTAGCCTAACATGCTGTATATCAAGACTTGGTGGTCAGGTTGCCAGGTCAGTCTGCACAGACAGATTCCCACAGAACAGGAGGACAGATGGGATGGCAGAGCACGAAGGCGAGCTATGATGAAAGATAGCTCGCTGAGCAGGAACTGGGACATATTGGGCTTCAGGATTCATGTGGAGATTCTAACAAGGTGTTGTTAACGGCTGAGAGATCTGTTGGATTGGTGGACTGGTGAGGTGAAAAAGGATGGGATTAGTTTGTCTGGGAAGGTGAAAGAGCAGGAAAGGTACGGTACGGGGATATGGACCGAGGCGATGGAAAGACGGAGGGAGCCACGGGGACACGAGACAAAAGGCCAAAGCCCAATTCTCATTAGCATTAATACTCATCTTCATTCCATCTCTACTGGCCTGCTACATGTGAACATGTAATGACATTTCAAGGAGATGGGATAGGGGGCTATGGGGCACTTTGTCATGGGCACATAAGATCAGGAGGAGGGGGCGAATGGGACATAAATCTGCCACAGCACCTCGTTACCCAACACCCAACACTCCTGGCGGGTTCGCTAACCCCCGCCCCTCCCGGTGCTCCGCCATTAATCAGTGAGGAAATATGTAACCAGCGCTCTCCTCACGCCGCTCCCCACAAGCACTGAAGCTCTTAATTGCATGTTTTATCATGTGTTTCATGTTCTATACTTGGCGGCTGGCTGCCAGGCATTTGTCTCACCAGCCGTTGTGGAAGAGGGATAGCACGTGGCCGCGTGTCTATGCGCTCCCTCCGTCTCACTCTCAGTCAGCACCTCGAGCGCTAATGCAGCAGTCGACCATTAAAGCTGCGGAATTACATATGAAACAATGAGGGTAACCCTGCCATGTCCTTCAGCGAGGAGAGTTTACCTGTAGCACTCAGCCACCGCTGGAATTTACATTTCAGTGATCATATATCAGTGAGTTCTCCATGAACTCATCGTGTCTGCACCGATGTTTCTTTCTGTGCAGGAGTACTGTTGATTTTTCAACAACTGTTCTTTCAAACACCGTGGAGCGACGCAGAGCAAAGAGAACATCTGTGCTGTGATTCCTGGGGGAGAAATCCTCGCCGTTGATGGAACCATCGCTCAAACATACAGCTGTCCCTCCACTTTACATCCCCTTTAATCTTACGCTAAGCTCCGTTTGCTGCGCGGCCTCCAAAGTGAAAATCCATAGGTTGGATTAATGTTGTGTGAACTCATCGATAAGTTCGTAATTGCTCAGTAGAAGCTGGAAGAAGGGAGTAGCGGTGTCTTATTCACCTTGGTTTGCAGAGCTGGCAGTGAAGAGCCAGAAGGAAGGCAAAAAAGTTCAACTACAGGCTGCAGTTTGGAGAAAATGTTAAAGGGTCTTTCTCGTTCCGATCTTATTCCGTTTGTTCAACGTTGACTGATTTAGGTACCGTTGTTGTCGAACACAGATGTGATGTAAACTGAACTTTTTTTTACAGCAAGGGTTTTCAAAGTCTTAACATTGTGAGCCTCCCTTTACAGAGCAAAGACACAACAGCGCACTCCCCTCCCCTCTTATCCCGCCCCCATGCACTACATACATGTTTACATATAGGCATGTGCACACGTTGTATATTTTTAATAATGAATGGATTTTTTTTTGTCTTTTTCTGGGATAAAAACAAATGTGTGAGTGACTAGAAAAAGTCAAAATAACTGGTTTTCATTGTGATCAATGACACGGTCTTCATCAATCACGTTGCTAGATAGATCGTTAGATAAGTTGATTGTGTAATACTTTATTCATCCTCAAGGGGAAATTCAGATTTTAAATACTAAAGTAATACTTCTAGAAGTGACACAGCAAAGGTTTTCAGTCTTAACATTGTGAGCCTCCCTTTACTACAGCAAGGGTTTTCAAAGTCTTAACATTGTGAGCCTCCCTTTACAGAGCAAAGACACAACAGCGCACTCCCCTCCCCTCTTATCCCGCCCCCATGCACTACATACATGTTTACATATAGGCATGTGCACACGTTGTATATTTTTAATAATGAATGGATTTTTTTTTGTCTTTTTCTGGGATAAAAACAAATGTGTGAGTGACTAGAAAAAGTCAAAATAACTGGTTTTCATTGTGATCAATGACACGGTCTTCATCAATCACGTTGCTAGATAGATCGTTAGATAAGTTGATTGTGTAATACTTTATTCATCCTCAAGGGGAAATTCAGATTTTAAATACTAAAGTAATACTTCTAGAAGTGACCAGAAAAATCCATCTCTGCAGTGGTTAGAAACTATTGTTCTATTAACAATATTCTATTCTGGTTCTATCTATGGGAGCTCCGCCCCAAACGCTCTTATTGGTCGAGACACACGTTGACATGACACCAGTTCCAAACCAGCATTGTGACTTTGGTCTTTTTGTGTATTCAGCACCAAAGATCAACTGACTTCCAAAATGATCATTTAACAGTAAACTCTTACGTAACGTCTTACGTCAGTGAAAGCTTGTTTGTGCTCTCTCTCTCTCTCTCTCTCTCTCTCTCTCTCTCTCTCTCTCTGGACGTATATTTGTCAGAGGAGTTGATGATTGTTGAGTAAATAACTTAGTCTTTCGTTTTTAGTCAAATTCAACTGCTTACTCGTCTCCACACAGGCTTCTTTAGCTTAAGGACATGAAGGACAACTCTTTGAAGACCTAGACATGCAAATTAGGTTCCAGTTTAAAGACGGGGTGAAAAGATGAGGTAAATACCCCAGGGACGAGCCTCAGTGCCTGGTCGGTCAACCTCCTCTCCTTCATTCTTTGAGGATATGCGTGTTGTTTCAGGGTGTGTGAGACTGAGAGGCTCTCATGGGCAGCGCCTGTGGAATGTGTTGTTTAGCCTGACCAACTGAAATCTCTCTTATTGAGCAGCGATAGCCCACAGACTCTCTGGCTCCTCGGGGCAGGATGGAGGCGGGGGTATTGTGGTGGGGGAGGAAGCTGCTCGGCAGCTGTTGTCAGTACCTGGGCTTTTTACATGTTCGATCACTGGTCCGTAATACTCACACACACACACTCACACACACTCACACACACACACGATGTTTTCATCCCAACAAGCCTTTGTTGGAAAAAGGGAAAAGTAACATGAAAGCCTTGATGTTAGAACCATGTCAGCTCTGGTTCTGGATCCAACCAACATCCAACTGAGTTTTGGGGAGAACGAGGGCTGAGCAGTAATAAGGGGGTTAGTGTGAAGCAACTACAAATTAAGTTTTTAGAAGGTTGCTACGTTCCCACTCTCATGACCACAGACTTCGCTCTATACTTTGCTGGAGTTTCATACTTTAATATGGTCTCGGAGTGACAGTTGTCACTTAAACCTGTCATTTATTGACTAAATAAGGACATAAATCTAAGGCCATTAGGGCCGCAACCAGTTTTCCCTTCATTACGCTATTGGTTGATTTTTTTTTTTGCCTTTTAACGTCCACAGCCGCAGAGTTCTGTGGAGCTGTATTTTAGGCTCACTGTCGGGTTGAACTGAGTCACGAGTCAAAGCACTGGACTAATTAAATATTTTTCCTTCTGTATCAGTTCTGGCCAATGTTTTGTTAACACGGAGCCAGATGGGATGGTGTAAAAGTACCTTAGGGCCAACAGCTTCTCTGGGGTAAATTAAAGCTATCATTAACCCACTGTTAGGGCCAAATCCCAGTGCAACACCCACCCCCCTCCACCCCCACCC